GGAACTCTTTGATAATCTATGCCACCGAACTTATATTGGAATTCATCTCTCGTAATAATCGAACTTTTATTGCTTTATTTTCCATTGAGCAAAAATATTCACATGATGAATATTTTTGCTATCTGGGATTGTTAAGCCAGCATTTCTTAACATTGATGACTCACTTGTTCACCATTTATTGAGCTTAAAGCCTACCTTTTTATCAGTTGCTTCAATTCACGTTTCCTTCTTTTGAACAACACCAGTTAGTACAGTGTAAAAATCACTTTAAAACTACATTTTTTGCCTTCGGGAAGTTCAGTCCTTCATCTTTCGCTAACTAACTCATTCGGTTGCAAGATATGGAGCAATTGCAGTTCCATATGTGACAGTGTTCTAAACACAAACTTGAGTTTGTTAATCTGGGTTGTCTATCCAAACTATTCTCTGAAAGTCTTGATCTTTTGTATGAATATTTATCTGTCTCTACAGCATTCTGTAGCAGCAGTTATTACAATGTTATGAAGTCTAAATCTCAATAAAATACAAATTAAATCATGTTTTTTTGGAGCTATCATAAAAGTATCATTTAAAGAAACACCTGGAATGTTTTTGACATTGACATCAGAAACATTTTCCAGTTTTGTTTTAAGCTAGATACCTTCAATATGAATTGATGTTTATTCTCTAATTCACGATTTGGGTTTGGCACTCACTAGTTGTACGTTTCCCAAAGAAAAGTATTCCTTCATAAATTGAATATACTGATTGTAAATTTCTGGCATGGATAACAGTCTGCTCTTTAAATATTAAAATCTTCTGTGTGCTCTTTCGCAGGAATCACCTACAGTACCTCTGTTATGTTTGAATGTTAATGAAACTGAATAACCGCCTATTTTCTCCTAAAATTAGAACTTTCAAAATGGTCTTCAATTAATGCTGGAAGGTTCGATAGCTCATTTCATTCTAGCTGATGTTCCTGCTATAATTCTATAGAAGTGTTTAAGTTTTGTAAAATTAAATAAGTGTCATCAAAATTATCAATGGTTTGATTTAGTACTTTCAGACAGAGAATTACTTCATTATTTCTGTCAATTAAATTTAAAACTTCAACAGCTGACTGATTTCGAATAACTGGTAAACTTAGAAAACGTTTAATATATGCAAAAATTTGATCTCTCTTATTTGAATACATTTCGCCCAAAAGATTCCATGCTATCTCAATTACAATCCAAAATTTGAATTTTTTGAACTACGCAATACACTTCACTTTTCAATCAAGCCATCTAATACCATAATTATTGAGCATTGGGTACATCTGAATTATTTCTTACACAAACACAGAAAAAATTTTAAAAGCTTCCCATTCTCTAATATTACCTCCAAAAGTCGGTAATGTTAACTTTGGCAATTTAATATAGTCAAGAATATATACTGAAATTACACTATCAGATTTATTTTTACTGCTTTGATTTTTTAATACCTTTTCACCTTTAAATTCCCGCAATTAAATTTTATATGCGTACTTCTTAACGTTACCTATTTCGTTTTTTAGTTCTTTAGTATCTGTAATTAAGCCCCCGATTTCAGCATCACGATTCTCTAGCTCAGGTTTTCCTCTTTGAATAATTCGACACATTTCTCTAGTTCTGTTAAATTAATTTCTTATACTGTTGTAATTAATTTCCTGTATTTTCTTGATGTACTTAATAACATTCCTGCGTAATAATTAACATTGTTGGAATTCTTGTTGTTGCTGTATATATAAGTAATATAACTTGTCTGACGTTATCGGAACAAGCTACGAAATTTATCTGGCCAAAGAATACAAGATTACGTCTGTGGTCTTCAAGAGCCTTTGGCAACACGTAAGTCATACTACGGTTTAGCCCATTTCCACCCCAGGTTTGAAAGAAAGCACTCCGTTCGAAGGTGTCCCATCTTCTTCCCCTACCACTAAACCAAACGAGAGGACGTTCACGCATTTAGAGCGCCTCCATGCCGCAAGGACACTATGCAAATTTTAACATCCAACATTTAAAAATGTTTCCAGGATTCGAAACCCGGCCATTCGCTACAGTCAGAGTCACTAACCATTATCCCGTTGGGCGGCCTGGTGAAATTCTAAAATGGGTTAATCTGCAAGATGTCATTTACGAGCTAAGAGAAACGTTGATGGACGTGAAACGATATACCATTCTGAAAAGTTGGGAAAATATTTTGCCGAATAACTATGGTAACAATAAAAGTTTAGATGACGAAGACATGGGAATGCTAAAAAAAATTATCTGTCCCACAGACGGATTTACGCTCAACAGCAAAACGACGTGCCATCATGCGGCATTATTATTTTTCCGCAATATAGCGGTAAGAAAACGGTGCAACGCAATAAATTAGAATGCTGTTCTTGATTTTTTTTTAATGTGTGATATGTTATGTATAGTGCACAGCCCCTCATTTCTATTACAGGCACGCGTTTTCAAGTACGTATCACATTAAGTACTGTTTTTCTGTATATTTGAACTTACTTATGTTTTATATCGTTATTCAAGAATCCTGTAAGTTGGTAAATTCCGTACAGTATGAACAATAGTAATAACATTAAACTTTCCGTTGTATCAATCTGTGTTATCAGAGCTTTTGTTTTTCTGAGTTAGTCCCGGTCCCTATTAGCTCGAATAATCGGGTTCTACTGAGTGCATTAAAAGTTGTTATCAATATAGGTAAGACACTCACTAGTTCAGTTGCCAGAAACCCTTAGTTTATTTACACAAAATCTACACTTTTATACGAAACGTCTTTTTTAAAGAAAAAATAAAAGCTATACAAGGAGAAATTGATATTTTCTTGTTTCTTATCTAACAAAAGCCGATTTTTGTTAGCTTTCGTCTCTTCGATCTGCTTCTGTGAGAGCGTTGTCATGCAAAAGATTGTTAGACAATGTAACACACAAACATATTTCACATTCAATAGCATTGCAATCACCGTAATCAATTGTCCATAATTTGAACGTATATAAATATTTCTTTCATTGATACATATTTAAGTCTTTTCATTGGAAAAGACGTCATTTTTTTAAAACAAAATATTTTTTCATATTTAGCTTTGCAGGTAGATATGGGGAAAATCTTTAAGGGGTTATTACTTTAAATTCCCCAAGTTTTTAAAAGAAACAAAATGTTAAAATTTCAGTCTATATTTTTTCTTTGCCTGATTTATAAGTACCTTTAGCTTTTCAGATAACACTTGTTTCCTGTCGAGCAATATTTTTTATATAAATCGTTCATGATAATGTCCTCATTTTTTAAGATCTCAGTAACTGAAAACTGTACATTAAATGAGAGAATAAGACTTAATTTTTTAAGGAAAATGTCACAAATTGCTTAACTGATTATGTTTTATATTGTTTAGAAACACTCCTTTTCACTTTGTTTCTACTTGTGCGAAGTTATTCAATGCAAGATTTCCATTATGTGCATCACAAATAATCTACATGTTTTGCAGCTGCATTCCATCCAATGTTTTTACAATTATCATCGCATAAAAAACTTTAAAATAATTGGTTATTGGAACTTCCTTAAAACTCTCTCATACTCGTTGGACGTTTTAAATAGTTTCTTCAACTACCTTGCTGGAACATGCCTCAAAATTTTCAAATACGGAATATATTAAAAAAAATTAGAGAACTTTGACAGAGCTGCAGGTGTTGACCTCTGGTGTAACTGTTAAACTGACAAAATACTTTTATTGCTAACTTCTCTGCATATGTTGTTAAACTTCTGATATTTGAAAAACTTCTGATATTTGGATTTATTAATAATAACGAGAGCCAAATAATTATCAAGGAGTCTCAATCAATTCATATTAAAACGTGAGAAAAACTCTATCATACTTATCACACTTTGCATTCGCATTTTACTACCGATTCTGATAATATAAAAGTGTTAATACGCAATCAGTGTTAATTATTTCGGAAGAATCAGGAATTACTTTGTGCCATCCTTACTGGATTCATCAGCAAGTAAAATAATTTCATAATTTTTAATATAATGTATACGGGCTTTAATTAAATGGGATGAGTTAATCTTAAAATGCAAAATTTGAGACCTTTATTTCCATGCATAATCATATTTGTAGTTTCAGAAACTGTATATACAGCTTTATCTACTTGAAATAAGCATTAATATCTGTTTTAACTGCTATGATATCTTACAAAGTAAAATATTTTTCACAGCTTATGACCTATGACCCGTGTTTCAGTACATATGTATACAGTCTTGCATTTGATACAATTCCTAACCTTGCAAACAAAAACAAAATGTACGATAAGTGAAATGGTTTCCTTTTGCATTTTACAAATACAAGTGATTTCTTCCCCCCATAGTATAAACTCTTATGCATGAGTTTTTGCACTTTTAAAACCTAAACAGCATTAAATGCTAAATATAAGTTACAAACATTATATATAAAGCTATTAATGATATACACAAAGCGTACGCACTAATATCAAATATACATTTATGAAAATGCAGCCTTAGAGGATGGTTGGTTTTAAAGATTAAAAAAATGTCTTCCAAGTTGTTACTTATGAGTTTGTGCACGTTTGAAATCTAAACTATATTAAATTCTAAATTTAAATTACAAATATTATATATAAACATAGACTGATATACAGAAATATCAGTTATAAATTTAGGAAAATCCAAACTTAGATGACAGTTGGTTTTATAGATTAAAAAAAAATACCACCGATTTTGCGAAAGCCGAATATTAGCAGCTTATTTCTAAATACAAAAGTATTCTGTGAACAAAACTTAGAGCCCCTGCTTGTTAAGTCATCGCTAATCTAAGGCTAATTTTTGTTTTATTTTACAGCTGAACTTGAGCTGAAAGATTTTCAAAAATATTTTCCATTTAAAATAAATTGGTAATAAATAATTGAAATAATTATTTCAAACTTTTAATAGAATATATAAGGGAATACATAAAAGTGACCAAAGTTACTGCTTGAAGAAAGGAACCTTAAGCTCCGGCATTTTTTCTACTTTCTCCATAGGAACGGAGATTGTATGTGCCTCCTCTCCTGTCATGACTTGAGGAATATGATGAGGATCCAGTTCGCGAAATCTCTTGAAAACTCTGGAAAGAATTCACTTGTATCACTGGATGGTCATACAAATAAATGAAGGCATATTGAAAAATACTTGATGTTGATCATTATCATTTTAGCAATAAGAATCGGTTTAATTATTATACATATTGATCATAATCAGAAATATCATTTGTACTCTACACTATATTATATAGTTTCCACGTTATAATTTTTATTTTTGGCTTCATTTTATGTCTTCATTCAAAGTTCTGCGTACGGCAAACGCATTTTGTTTTAATAATTGTTGTATGGCTGTCACAGTAGTGACTAGTGAGTGGTGAATGTATTTGAATAACACAGACAATGGCATTTCTGTTGCCAGTATTATGTGGACTATCAGTGTCACACATTTCGTGGAAAAAAGGGTGCAGGTCACTTGTAGACGGTACGTATAAATGTTATAGTATTTCTAATATCTTGGGATAAACTACCCTAGGAAAGCATTTTTTTTTGTTCCAACAAACAGAGACTACGGCACACATGCATAATCTCGAAAAATACTAAGAGGACAATTTCCTGAACGATGTGGTGATGTCGTTTGGCAAAAGGTGCTTTCCAGATTTATCTTCTTGCAACTATTTGCTTTGGGCTTACCTTTGGGTAAGTCTTTCAAGATAGGTCGCAGATAGCCAATGAAATGGAAAATGTTACTTGATCTAAAATAGTGGCGATGTCTAAGTGTACACTTAAGGTTTGTTGAAAGGTGACAGGAATTTATAAGGGCAAGCATTTGGAAGATGTTAGCTTTAAAATAAAGGGAAGAAAATATGTCAAACAGTGCTCTGCATTACTGGAAAATAAAACCGTCTTCTTTTTGATTCCATTATATATAGGAGATATTTATCTGCCAGGCCTTTACGCAAAGTTTGCAAAACCAGCGAATTTATAAATATGTCTGGAGTACCTTTTAGCAGTTACTTCGGATAGTTGCTGGATTTTCAGAGTGTATTTTAAAACATTTACCATAAACATAAATTAAATTTAAAATTAAGAAGGTAAATATAGTTAAACAATATTAACGTTCTAAAGGAGATTTAAAAGGATGTCACATGTTTTTGCTATTCTCAAAAATTCATATTTTGACAAAGATGTTAAAAATACAAATACGCAAGATTTTCTATTTAAACCTCAAATAGTAGCATTGATTTTTTCCACCTCGTGAAAAGTCTAAATGTTTATTATCGAATGTTTCTAGAAGCAATTTCTAAAAGGTTTTAAGTTCTAACCGAGTAAAAAAAATATTAAAATATATTTACATTTTCTACTATTTCGGGGGTTCCTTTTCTGTCAAAGAAATGTAATAAATTAAAGTTTAGAATTACAGCAATAAAAATTATAGGTGACCGTAAATTTAAAAAAAAAATGTTTTTTGAAGGATTTTTGTGTACTTTTTCCCATACTTCGTCTAAATGTTCTACATCGATACACTTTGCCATTTTCCTTCAGCTCATGTACAAAATATCTTAACATACTTAAAGCGAGATAGTAGCAAAAACTTAATCTTAACAGTCATATTAATTTTTTCGACAATCAGTTCAGAGAAATGCTGAATACATGTATACTGAATCGGTTTAGAGTACCCAGTATTACCAAAATGCATATCTGGTCTTTCCTGTGTAAAATGTTAATACGAGTAATGTTTTTATGGAAACTGCCCTATAAATGTAATTCCTTTAATAACAGATAAGCATAAAACATACAGATTCTCCACATCTTCCGATGAGTTTCTTTCCGAACCACCTTGGGTACCATGAATTTGTTCGTGGATGGTTAATGCGTTTTGATCCTCCAGCAAGACAATTTCTCCTACAGAGAGAGGTTTATTTTTTGTAATTCTGGTATAGACTTGCTGTCTAACTGCCCTAGATACTCAGAGCGAAATCTCACTCTAACAATTCTCTCATTCTCTGAGATATTCGCTTTCTACTCAATTTTCTTTGTCCACAGGGTCATATCAGGTACACCCGACTGTGGAGTTTCATGCAGAAATTTTTCCGGAGTTAAAGGCAAGGGATCTTTAATATCGTCAGACACATACTTAAGTGGTCTTGAGTTGACAATACTTTCACAATCACACAAGACGGTGAGTAACTCTTCATAGCCAAGAGAAGCACGACCTACAATTTTTCTCAATATTTCTTTACAATTTGTATTAAATGCTTCCGGGGTGGAGGATTAAATTTCCATTATATTCTCTTTTCAGCAGGCTTAGAGTAAAGGCAGTCCCAGTCAATGATTTGCAGAACTCTCTCTGCACCCACAAAATTTGTCCCATTATAGGGCCACGACGTGCGATAAAACGACTTAAAGCTTTAAAAAATTAGTCAGTTGTTAATGAGGTAACCAGTTCCATATGGATAGCATGATAAACCGCACAGTGAAGACAAATATACGATTTTCGTCCATCTTTTAAAGCAGGGTCTGCAAGATCCATCCTAGAAAAAATGGCTGAATCACGAACCCTATCATTTGGGTAACCGCCTGGATGTCTCACCTCTTTTAGCTTAATCTTGATTTACACATTTTTCTTAACAGTTCCTTATAGTTTTACGTGATTTTAAGATCCAGAATCTTTCTCTTAAATGACATCAATCTGTCGTATCTGCTGCAACACATCTTGTGTGCACTTAATATCTTTTTTGACTACGATGCTCAGGGTAATATGATGGGGAACTTAAAGCTGCAGAGTCGTCACGATAAGCAACATTAGACTTAGCTCTTATTAGACCCTCTCTATCGACAAATGGTCTGATCTTAGATATCATTGTTTCACCATTAACGAACTTTTTTTGATTAATAACATTAAAAGCTATTTCTCCCCTTTTCTATTTCAGATTACAGTCAATCCTTAGAATGGTTATTATCATTATTCTTACGTACATTATTATAAATCTGAATATCCATGATAACATTCTTACAATTTCTTAAATGATGAGAAACTTATAGTACCATCCATAATTATCACTCTTTGCCAACGTAACATAACGTCTTACGTATTTCTGAATTAACCAAATCCTCATCTGGTTCATCATTAGATTTAGGCCAATTTGCCTCATCTTCCCGTAACCAATCAGGTCCCTCCACCATTTTCGTTCTATTAATTGATCTGCATAACAACCTCTAGAAAGTAGGTCAGCAGGATGAGGACAACCAGGGACATGTCGCCATACAGTGGGGGAGGTCAACGACCTGATTTCCTGTACACGATTAAAAACGAATGCTCCCCAACGTTGATTCGCCGTATCCACTTAAGCCGTCGAGGATCAGTCCAGCAATGAATACGAACTTCATGTAGGCCAATATCATAAATAACTGAAGACAAAACCTAGAACCAATACAAGCAAGAAGTTCTAATCGAGGAATCGTAATAGGTTTAAAGGAGCTACTCTCGATCTTGCGTGTATCAAATAACTTCACCTTTTTGCCACTCTGTACTCTTAAAAAGACGCATGCACCATACGCACTTTTACTACTGTCACAAATAGATGTATACTCACCGCTATTAATAGATTTGAACCTACCCATCTAGGTATTTGGATACTGGATAGCAGTACAACTTTTTAAGCCAAAACTTAAACCTTTTGGTTAATTCATCGGAAGAACATCGTCCCATTTAAGCCTTAAATTCCAATTTCCTGAAAAAATTAGTTTTGGAATCAACATTATAGGAGCCGTATACCTATAACGTCAAACACCTGATGAACTACTGCTAAACTAGTCTTTTAGTAACTGGGTCATCCAATTTTATCTTGACTTATTTTGCAAGATAAGGTATCTGTAACTGTTTGCCATACAAGGCCAGACACATATCCTTCCGTGGAGGAATCTTCCTCTGGCAACAACACTCTTATATTGGATTTCCAGAATCTTAAATTAAAATGACCCGAAGCCATAATTATTTGGATTCATTTACAAACTTTCTCATTTCTATTTCTGAATCCATACTACCCACACGTTATCTACGTAAAAAGGATGTTTTCAAATCTCCGCTGTATGACTTAAGCTTTCGGGAACTACACTGAAATGATATTGTATTGTAGCGGCCAATAAATACGGACTACACGTAATAACAAAAACTACCCTTCCATGCCGATACAGATCAACTTGTTCTCGATTATCCCTACTGAATCACATAAATCTAAAAAAGTCTCGATCTTTTTCCCTTATAGATATATGCAAGAAAGTTTTTTCTATATCTAAAGTGACACCAACGTAATTCTTGCGAAACCGATTAAGAATCGAAGGTATAATTTAATTAAATTTGGTCCAGTAGATAAACAATCATTCAATGATGGGTAACCAGCGAATGAGAACTTGCATAAACACCGGTCTTATACTCGTGCTACTTTTCTTTTAACAACTGCTATATGAGGTAAATAATGTACCCCCTTATATTAATTCTTATCCGGTACTTTTTCAATTATCCCGAGTGCTAACTAGTTCTGGAAAACGTCTCCGTAAGCGTCAAAATTTCCCTTAGTCATTAATTTTCTTTTAGTACTTACAAGACATTTTTTTGCTATCACTTTGTTTTGGGGATCCGACACCCAAGGTAATGCTATTTCGTACCTTCCCTCTGAATTTACTGTAAGAGCCTTTTCAAAATATTTTTGAGTATCCTCCTGTAACTGAGTTTTGGTTTTACTTATGGAAGATTCACTAATACCCAAAACATCTAACTTCCAGAGATCACTAGTACATTGACCCTTCACTAACAGAGAAGAAATTAGGAGGGTTGCAGTATTTATCGTAGTTGGCTCAGTGCCAGTAAATTTACCCGTAACAATCCAGCGTAACTGCATATGCATCGCGCTAACGCCGCACGTAAGGGGAATAATTTTTCTAGTTAACAACTTACCAGCAAAATCCGCACCAATTAATAATTTTATCTCTTTATCAATATTACATGGACCATTTTCTAAATCACTTAATTTGATACCATATGACTTGAGTTTGCTGAACCACGAACCAGATGGGAGTTGCTTAA